ATTCATAATTTTGGCTGTTGAAATTTTGTTTCTGTAGCTGAGAAGCTTAAGATCGCAACGCTTAAAACTCCCTTGCCTTTTATGACTCGGCTAATTCCGCTCGTTCGCGGATTGCGCCYTTCGCGTCGGTTGGGCAGGAGGAGGGTAATCGTTGGGTATTATTATTATTATATTCTTAAAATATAATCATAAAAATATAAAATGCAAAATTTTTTGTTATCGAGTTAGGGCTTTTATATGATACAAATGCTTTTGTGAGCGATAAGGCCAACAATAGCTGCCGAGTACTCMTCGTTGATATTAAAATGAAGACGATATTAAATTCTGACAAATTTTGAAAACTTTTGGAAAAATTCAACTAAAATTTTTATTTAAATAAAATTATAAAAAAAAAMATTTTTATACCAATATTTCTCTAAACCTAACCAAAATTCGAATCACTATCTTATAATTTTCTTCTTCTTCTTTAYCAGGTTAATAAACAATACACAGCCACCGATTTGGAGGCTTTTATGAAACTCGCCGTCAATTGGCAGAACAGCAATCACAACTTGCTGGAAGGAGTTGATATAAAAGGAGGTAAGTAAATAACAAGCGATAATTTTAGAGCCCTAGGCAATCAATTTCTAGACAAACAACCAAAGAGCTCATTCATTGAAATATGAATATCCAAATTCATACCAGAATTTGCAGCTCATGATCTTAAAATTAATTTTAAGCTGACAAATATAAAATAAATTTATATAAGTTTTAACCAGTCTTCAGATAAGCTCTGAAAGCTACATAGCTTGAAGTGAGCCTATGAAGAGGGTTCTGCATCATTATCTTCGGCTACCCTCAATGAGATGATTTAGATAATTATCTACAGTATGTTGAGCCGTCAAGAACCAGATATGTAATACATTACTATTACTTCCTCGGAGGATATACCAGATTACGGGAGTTTGTACCAAATATACTACCTCAAAATAATGTTCATTGAGATWTCTTGGTTGAAAATTTAGTATCTCAAAGTTCGAAATCCATTCCATGTCTGTTTATTTCTGGATCATATTTTACAAACCTTTTCATTTATATCTGGATCATGTTCAAGAATMTTCTTAATTTTTTCTGGATCATATTCCAGAATCCTTTCCATTTATTCGTTGATCATATTCTATAATATGTTACTAAACCTTTGCAAGGCAGTGGACACCTCTTTTCAAAAACTCTGAATACAAACTTACTTTATTTTTAACTGATCAAATACTAAAATATATATAATATAATATATGTTCCCTCTCTTCAACAGAAATGCAACAGTATATGAACAGTCCAGCCATGAATATGTATAAAAAACGTGAACGCACACAGAATTGGAATCATCAAGAGAAAAAATTTCTGCTCGATTTGTGTCGGAAGGATATGCGTATTATAGAAAACAAAAGACTYGATGCGGGACTAACAGCGGTCAAGAATAAAGCCTGGAAGATCATACATCAGAAATTCTCAAGTCAATTCGGAACAGATCGTACGTGTAATCGTTTGAAGGAGCAATGGCGACGCATGAAAGGTGAGTGGAGTAGATTGAGATTGAAAGAAAGTGGGATAGATTGAAAGATAGTGTGAAAGAGASCTAGAGCMGAAATTAGTTATAGGAGGGCAGTATATAGGAGAAGTCAAATGTGTGAAATTAGACGATATGCGTTTAACACTAATTAGCTCTTCGTTCTACCCCCGGTTTAGCCTAAGTAGAAATTGTGAGAGACAGCAAACGAAACATTTTCAATAACTAAAGCACTGTTAAATTTTTTTCTTTATAAAAATAAAAACTCTTTAAAAAAACTACAATGGATTTCGAAAAWTACAAAAAARTTATTTYTCATTTTCGGATTTACTACTTTGTTTAATCCGCCTGACTTGTCGAAATAAATCGTATTAGCATTTGCATTATCTAGATATTTTATTTTATGTAGTACAATTAACGTTTCTGTAAGCATTCTCATTTGAATATTTATTCTTTGGCTTGCAGCCTGTACGCGTAACGAAATATTGGACTACAACAATCGCTTGGCCAGATTCGGTGCTGAGGTTGCCGATCGCAAAAAGCCATCACCGTTCACRTTCGAAGTGTGGGAATTCATGCAGGAGGCAAAGAAAGCCTGCAAATCTGAAGCTTTAGATGGCATTGACTACTCCAAGATACCGTTGGCGCTCGAGGAGGACTACGAGTATCGTGAGGACGAGCAGAATGGSGAGGATGACCACGATATGGACGAGTAAGTAGAAAACTTAAAATACTTTTAAGTCGAAGACTACAAATTATGTATATTATTTCATAAAAAGATATGAAATCSATTTAAGACCTATTTTTTCACTTTACAAACTAATCACTCTTTATCCTTCCTTTTATAGCAGCCGCACACCACCACAGGAGCTCTGCGATGTCGACATCAAGGAGGAGACCAATGAGACCTTCAACGACACCAACACACACAATGATTCAATGGCGCTCGGTGAGCGCTTATCGTCCTCCTCGCCGAATCTCAGCCGCTTGGGTGCACATCACGACCTCGAACGCGTCAGCCTACACAGTCCAGCCGGCAATATGGCGACGGCCAGCGAACTCGCCAACACCAGCTATTTGTCACAGAACGGCGCTAGCGGTGGCGCCGCGGTCGGTGGCAGCGCYGGCGATATGGGSGCCTTCCAGCCCGCCTTCAATATGAGCAACATCTCGGCAACCTTGGAAGCTTTGAATGCGTTGCGTACCGGACAATTTCCCTCAGCCGCTGCTGCTGCTGCCGCTGCCTTACAGAATAACTTCGCCGCCGCTGCCGCGCAACAACAACAGCACCAACAACTTAATCAACAGCAACCACAACAACAACAACAAATGTCACCTCGTGATGATCAGCCATTGGTGAAGCGTCCACGCAGCTCGAGTGGCAGCGCAAACGGTGAAGAGGTCTTACAYGATTTATCYATGAATGGCGCCGCCGCCGCAGCCGCTGCCAATGTCGCAACGGTTAACACAGCCAACGCGCCCATCGGCGCCAGCAATGGTGCTGGCATGAGCGCCTTGGGCGCGTCCACCAGCAGCACGCCAGAGATGCGCGCCTTCATGGAGATGCAGAGCAAAGAGCACCTGATGCGCATGAAGATACTCGAAGTGCAGCTGCAGGCGGCCAAATATAATCGTGATCTGGTCGAGATCAATAAGACTTTGGCGCTGCAGAAGTTGCAGGAGTTGGCCAGCAAGCGCTTGACCAGCTAAACTAGGCGCGTGTGATTAACGGTGGATGGAAATTGTTGCGTAACAAAGTATTTAACGGTGGTTTTTATAGGAAATGTTTGCGTAGTGAGGCAACGGTACTTTGCGTACGTGTGTAAAAGCTGGCTGCAGTTCGGTAAAGCGCTGGCACACAATTGTGTTACATAACGACGATTTACCTTTTTCGTTTTTTGAATCAGTTGGAGAAAATAATAATTATAATAGTTCGTRTTGCGTTTWTGTATTTTTTTGTATGGAAATAACATTCCCGTTAGCAGCAGTTATGTATTCAAAACCTAATTTACTGTTACAGCTTAGAAATAGTTGCTCTTTCGTTTGTTACTGTGTTGCATGCCACAAATTTTGTAGAAAAACAATGAAATATAGCAAAAAAAGAAATTATTAAAATAAAATGTGAAATCTTACTTATTTCCTTTTTTTTGCATTTTCTGCCATAACAGTATTTCAGAATAGTAGTAGAACACAGCACATAAAAGTATTACACGAAACACAAATATAGGAAGAATCATATCGATTCACAAGCAATAGTTAACGCAATAGCCCTACCTCAGTGGTGTAAACCTACAAAYTACAACAAAAACAAAGCGAAATAGAAAACTTATAAAAACAATTAACAATAAGCCATAATCGTCCAAACTTATTAAAACGAAGTAACAGCTTTATGTTTAACAACAAAAATACATACAAACTGTTTTTGTTGCATACTTTTGCGCGCCAAATTATATACATACTACTTCCGCAGCTTTTAAAGTATACCTAGCGCTATTGCACTCTATTATATGCTGCACAAATGTTTACTTTATTTTTTTATCTTATTTTTTGTAGTTGTAAAGGAGTTGGCTTCGAAGTACAGACATACACGCAGCCACTTATAGTAGCTGCGCTTAAAAGCTCTTGGTTTTCAAAAGCTACTTACGGCGCCTAAAAGCCGTGGCTTGTAAATTTAAAAAAAAAAAAAAGCACGAAGAAGTTCCAAAAGTAAAACTAACAAAAACAAAAACACAATGTTAAGTATAAATTTTTTTGCTTAAAAAATTGTATATTTGCTCTTGCTCTAAGGCTAATGGACACTTTTTATTCAGTCACAATTTAGCGCTGATATTGCGGAGAAATATAAAAACTTCTCAACTATTTAGCACAAATTTATGTTTAAAACCGTTAAAATATTTTTGAAAAAGGAATTATTAAGTAATTTAAAAGTGCCAAACGCATATTTAAATAGTATTTAAGAAACTTTGAAAGCTCCGTATAAAGCTTTTCCTGCTATTAACGTAATAAGCAGTTTTACGAAATGCAACAGTGTGTTTGCAAAAGCACAGTGTTAGTGTTAATGAAATTAAAAGTTTGAAAATATTTGTATATAGAAAAAAAGAAAAAAGTAGCACTTAAAAGAAATATTTTTGTACTTATAGACATGTATAATAAAATATGTAGTTTAGAAAAAGGTATTAAAAAAAATTATAAAAAAAGTATATTGAAAAGAAAATGATTATATTTTATAAGCGAATACAGTTAATGAAAAATATGTTATATACAATTTGTTACAAGGCACTAAACAAGCGATTAATTGTAAAAATGTACTAACTAAAAAATTTAAGTAAAAAACAGACAAATTTAAAGAAAAATGATAATAATATAGACCAAAAAATATTATAATAGAATAAAGTGAAACAAAAAATAAACAATGAGACCAATTAAAAATTAAATTAAAT